TTATAATATAGTAAATTATAAATATTCCACTGTAGTTGGTTCCTGTATTTTTATAAACTTGTAAGTATAAGATTATTGCACCCTTCTAGGTAGAGGGAAACTGTTTTTAGTTCCAACATGCCTTAACCGACTTGGCCAGGAAGAAGTTTTGCTGATCCAACAAGTTCTAAACTGTGCTTTTAAGTGAAATTCTTTTTGTCATAGATTACTCAAAATTATCATATCTGCTCATTTTTGTACCCAAACATAAACAAAGTAAGTTTCTATCTAAAGAAGTAATGGTAAGAAAAAATGAAAAAAATGCCGAGAAAATATATTGATTCATAGTTATTTATTCATAATTACAGTTACTCTTCATTATGTGTTTATTTAAATTTTCTTGTTTTCTTGTTTGCAAACATGTTTTTTTATAAATTCATGAATAAAGATTGTTTTCATAATTATTTGTTTATAATATGTTAAATCTATCTTCTATCTTAAATAAATAAACGGCAAATTCTGTTTGTCTGTCCATATGCTTGGAACCCCTCTACCTCGAGCCACACTTGTTCTATAAAGACATATACATTTTTGGAATCAGGATGATCCCGCGATTGAAAAATCTACTCTTCAAATGGTGCTTAAATATCGAGCATTGGTATTTGTGTCCAGATGAGGAAAGAACAGTTTAAAATTTAAATTTTAAAATAACTGAAAAATATTAGTGATTTTAAAAGTTTTCAATTTATATTGAGTTTAAATTAACACAAAACCTTTATGAATTTAAACATTTTTGTTTTAAATTCAATTTAAAATATCCCCCAAATTTTGTGAATTGAGGAAATCGATTTTATTTCTTCAAAATGCCAAAGAATCAGACTTAAAGTGAAAAGTTTGGTGATGTGGACCCAAAGTTTGGACCACGGAAGGAAAACAAGGAACATGGATTAGAGGTAAGAAAGATATATTAAACAAAAAGGTTACAAAGATAGTGTAAGTGTAAGCGGAGCTTACTATGTGCTAGTGTCCAATATTGGTAGTCGTACGCGGTTGATACTACGGTATTAGAATACTCTCTCTCTCTCTCTCTCTTTCCTCCTCTTCTCTTAGAGTGTTATATCGCATACTTTATATAGTCCTCGAAGAGTCCATGTTGTAGGTATGTTACGGTCTCACAACATTTGGTAACGTGAGATTTTGAAATTCTGCAGAATTCGTGATTTGAAGAATACGACTCAACTGAAATTTCATGGAGTTTGTGATTCGGAGAACTCAATTTTCAGCCTGAACATTAATTTCGCCCTGGATTGTAATTTTGGCTCAAATCGAACATTCGACCTAAAGTTTCAGAATTCAAAATTATTATCATTGCTGTTTTCTAAGTTTGACCAAAGGTACTCTTCGTTTTGGGCCGGATACCTAATTAACCCCCAGCAAGGGCTAGCTTAAAAGTATATATGGTAAACTGGATATTATGGAATATGTATAGGTGGATATTACATCGTGGAACCGACTCCCAAATGAACGATTCCACGTTCATAACAATCTTAGCCTGTTCAAATCTAGGATTAACATATATATTCTCTACGTATTTTCATAAGCTGTGCCCCAACCTCTAACACGGTTGGCTCTTGAGCCTTGTACAGGGTGAACATCTAAATAAATAAACAGGAAATTCTGTCTGTTTGTCCATGTGTCTGAAAACTACTCTAACTTGCTCTACATAGACATATTATACCTTTTTGGGATCAGGATGATCCTAGGATTAAAAATGTGTCCTTTATATGGTGCTTGAACCTCCAGTATTGGGATCTTTGTCCAGATGAGAAGGGAACGAACAGTTAAAAATTCAAATTTTAAAATAACTGAAAAAAATAAGTTTTTAATTTATGTCCAGTTTAAAGTAACAAATAAACTTTGTGAATTTATTTTTTTGTTTTAAATTCAGTATAAAATATCTCTAAAACTTTGTGAACTGAGGAAATCGATTTTATTTCTTCAAAATGCTAAGGAATCAGAGTTAAAATGAGAGGTTTCGTGACCTGAGATTTTGATGTATCACCGAGTTTGTGATTTGAGAAACTCAATATTTGACAATGCTTAACAAACGTTCCTGTAAAAAAAAACAGTGTGGTAAAAAGATGGTGCACTTTTGACAACATTATGACTGTATACAACTCCATAATTTTTATTATTTTTAAAAGTTAGTTTTCAATTGTAATAAAACCCAAACATATGAAACTGGATTTATGCAGTCTCTTTTTTTTTCGAGAAACGTCAACAAAATAATTAAACAATATTTATTTGTTGGATTGTTTTTACAGGAATAATTTTATGTTTATATGACTATAAAAATGTGAAACAATTTCAATATTTGTTATTTATCAGATTCCAAAGAAATAACTATGAAAAATATTTTTTATTCATAAATTTAAAAACAAGAGACCATTTAAATAAACAGCTCCGAGTAACTTTATAAATAATTATAAATAAGTAATTTATAAGTCGTTATAAATTTTTTAAAAAGTTTTTATCCTGACATTTCTCTCATTTGTTCTCGCTACATAAATTCACTAAAATAGTTTGTAAGCATCTCGTTTTGTACTGTTTTTCTCGAGAACTGACAGCAAAAATGTTAAACACTATGTAGACTTTATTTACAAAAATAGTGTTTACTTTTTGTCATGCGTTGTTTTCCTCTGTCTCTTTTGCCTTCAGCCTGTGAGTATCAAATTTTCTACGCCTTTTTCCTCATTATGTGCCCAAGAAATTTTAACTGTCTCTTCTTGATGTTAAGTATAAGTGTCTTTTTTTGTGTTTCTATTTTCTCTAAAACTTCGTCGTTGTTTACATTGTATTCTCAGCATCCTCGCGTAGAACCACATTTCTGTTGCTTAAAATCTCTTCTTTATTATGTGATGAGATCATCCAGTTTACATTGTCATATAGAAGGACTGATATTGTTTAACAGTTCATTGCTCTTTGTTTCTAACGAAATTTTTTATGTTTCTTAATACTTTGCTTAGCTTTTGGAAGGCTTCTTTCTCTATCCCAGTGCACCTTCAGATTTCAGTGTTGCACTTTCTGTCCTTTGTTAAATCACTACCCAGATACTTAAATCATTGGACTTGTTTGATTTTTGTATCTCCAATTTGTAATTTGTATGTTGAACTGTCTCTTCCATTCTGTTTTCTTATTGTTGTTGATTCCGAGATGAAATTCAGTTTCCAATGAATGACAAACGTAGGAATGAAATATAACAAATAAATGTATTTACTCAATAATACAATTGGGAATACGGTTAGTAGATTCCGAAACGTGGTTAGTAGCAATAATAATATATATACACAGTCTGGTAAATCCAGTCTCGAAGTAGGACTTCCTTAGAGTCTACGTGCTTGTAACTGTGACTTCTACAAGCGGTAACCTCATACTATTGCTCTACCTCCAACTCAATCACAATCTCAATCTCTCTACTCTGATTGACTCTGGGTATTTAACGGCAGCAGTCCAAGTACACACTGGTCGAGTCCACTTGTATGAAAAATACATGCAATTATGCAATTAGTTAAGTCTCCCTAAGCATTTTCCTTAGGGATATCTCAGGTAAGGCCTACAGGCTTAATTCGCTTAAAGCTATTTTAACCATTGATCTTAGATAACAGTTATATAGAGCAGACAGTTTAGATATTTCTGAATTGGTTTGACGCCATGTATGGCATTCATATGAAAGTCTCTGACAAGATTGTTTAAGAACATGACTCGAGTTTTTAATCTTTTGGTTTTGTAGCAATTTGCGGTGTTAAGCGAAACTATCTCTAGCGCAACCTATTCTATATTATATTTTCTTATCTTCTAAACTAAATTTATTATAACTGATCCATACAATAAGGTGTTTGAAGTGTTTAGTATTTACTAATTCTTCATCCTGAATTTTTATGACTGATTCAAGGTAGGCGCCATCACTGCTTTCATTCCAATCCCAGAGGACGGCAAGAGAGATACTGTGATCCGTAGATGTATTGGGATGTCTGAGGACGCATTACAAAAGGTGGGCTGAGTGTTGCGAAACAGGAGGATTTCTTTGGTAACAAAGAAAAGAGCACTGAACTGTTACTTGACATCTGTCCTCCTTTACGGTAGCGAATGTTGGACGGTCTCCTAAAAGATGAAGAAGAGACTCGAGGCGACGGAGATGTGGTTTTACAGAAGGATGCTGAGGATATCAGGAACTGAGCGTGTGAGCAGTGATGAGATCTTGGAGAGGACGCAAACAAGGAAGAAGCTTATACTTAATATCAGGAAGAGGCAGCTGAAGTATCTGGGACACATAATGAGAAAGGAGGGTCTGGAGAATCTGATACTCACAGGTCAAATAGAGAGAAAGAGAAACAAGGGAAAGCAATGCATGACATACCTAGCGGGCTTAAGCAAGTGGACGAGAGAACAGGGTCTGGGAGAGATGGCAGAAGGACGAAACTTATTGAGAGCTACAATGGATAGAGGGAAGTGGAAAGCCATGATCGCCTACGTCCTGAAGGGACACGGCACATAAAAATATTTCTGTTTTGGAAAGGTTTATATTGAGTCCTATTTCTTGGAACACTTAGTAGAGATGTTGATTTTTTTCTTGTTTTTAGTGCAAGAAAATGAATCATATTATCAAACGGGCAAGCAATCTTTCCCAGAGCGATGGTCAACAAGCCTAACTGAGTTAGTGAAGCGATTTGGAGTAACACGGGTGGTCTGCTGTTGTGGGCTTGTGCCGTATTGAGCTCTAAACTTACTGATTGCCAAAAGAGATGCAGGTATATAACGGAGGGTGATAATGATTTAAAAAGTCAGGTCGAGACAGAAAGAAAGAATGTTATACTGCCGCCGCCGCTTACTATATATATATATATATATATATATATATATATATATAAAAAAAAAAAAAAAACAGCTGTTTTTCTTTTCTTTCTCTCATTTTGAAAGTGCGCCTCGTAGCAGACGAGATCAAGTTTCAGGAAAGAGAAGGAATGTTAGAGCTTCATGCCTTCCTAATTCAACGGCAGCGAAGAACCTTCATCAGATTCCTTCCCCTCCCCGTCTTTAACGTTTTCAGCTTCCTTCCTGTATTTCTTCGATTTCACTTTCCTTCTACTCTTCTTCCTCTTCCACGTGAGTGTATCTAGGTTTTGGTATATCTGTGTGTGTGTGCGCGCGCGCTCTCTTTTTTCTATAGGTGTGTACGTATCTGTACGTTTGGTATTATGACACGCACACACAATGTGAATATCGTGTATGTGATATGTGATGAGTGTTGTTTTGTGGCGGCATAACGTCTTTCATCATACTTCTAGATTTGCTCACGCCTATTAAGACTCCCACGTGCCCACGCGTCTCCTACACACAGACAAATGGAACCTCTGTGTGTGTACGATTTTTCTCTCTCTCTCTCTTTCTTTCGCACACACACACACACACATATCTGGAAAGCTAAGACTGACATGTTATCCAAGTTAGGGAAAATGCAATTCGCTTGGCAGAGGAAGGCGTTTTGGACTACTGCCTGCCTGCCTAACTTCTGAGTCTTTTTACCAAAGTAAAAACAGGCCAACTGACTGGCTGGCCACACCGAGCGATACGCACGGCATAGCTTGCCATTAAGTGGTTGCTTTCACTCACACATCACTTTTTCCATCCTCTATCATTGGCTTTTGTTCACTCTTTCTTTTACTTGTGCATACATGGCATCGCTTCTTATTTTGATAAAGAATTTTTCTTTCTTTCTTTCTTTCTTTCTTTCTTTCTTTCTTTCTTTCTGTTAATTTTTTCTCTCTCGTTAAATTTCTTTCATTCTTTCTTTCATCTTCTCTCCTCCGTGAATTTTTTAGTTTCTTTCTTTTTATCGTGCTTTTATCTTTCCTTCCCTTCAATATCTTTGAATTTCTCTCTCTTTTTGAATTTCTTTCATTTTTTCTTTTACATTTCCGCCCTATAATTCAATTTAATTTCTTTCTTTCTTTCTTTCTTTCTTTCTTTCTTCTAATTTCCCTCTCTCCTTCAGTTTCTTCGTTCATTCTTTCATCTTATCTCCTTCTTGAATTCTTCAGTTTCTTTCTTTCTTTTCCCACTCTTTCATTCCTTTTTCTTAATATTCCCACACTTTTTCTTTCTTTCTTTCTTTCTTTCTTTCTTTCTTTCTTTCTTTCTTTCTTTCTTTCTTTCTCCTCAATTCCACATTCATTTTCCTTCTTTCTTCTTTTGATCACCCCCTCTCTTCTTGAGTTTCTTTCGTCCTTAGTTTATCTTTCTTCCTCTTCAAGTATATTTGAATTCCTTTCTTTCTCACAGTTCCCTTTTGTTCTTTTTCAGTTTTTATGACACAAATTCATACGAAATACGAAATACTATATTAGATAACAAACACTAACTGATTGGCAAAAAGTTCGTTCGGTTATTAAGTAAATTTTCTACTTAATAAAACGAATGAACTTTTCGGTTAACCCAATATTTACCGTACATTATTGTTTTTGACTTGTTAAACGAAACGCCAACGTTTTCGTTTTCCTTATGAACAACCATTTAACCTTCCGTTATAAGTTTTCTTATTATTATTCGATCTCTAGGTTTTATAAAATAACTTATTTGTTGGTGACGTTCCTTAGGTATGGCAACAACGACGTATGACCTGGACGCCATTTTAAGACGCTGACGCTGAACTACCAGACGACCCATAATCGCATAGCGAAAACGTGAAATTTTTTTAGATCTAGGATTTTTTAGATCTAGGATTTAAAAATCATTTCACCCCAAGCAAGGCGATAATACCACTAAGACGCAAAGGGATACTAGGGAGAAAAGAAAATGAAAAAGACTTTAGGAAAAGGAACCGGAAACCCAATCCTGAACAGGAAACAAGGGATAAATTCAAAAGAAAAGAAAGGAATGTGAACTGGGCGATAGGTGAACTTTTTGATTATAAAGAGTGATTTTTTTTAACTGAATCTGTGGGGTTTTCACTCACACCGTAGGATTAGTGGTAATAGAATTTTAAGCTTGTTTTTACAAAGATAAAAACATGAAAAGTAAATATACACAATGCAGAGAAGGCATAACAAATTGCATGGGAATTTCATGCAAATTTATTTATGCATTTGTGTGTGTATTTCACGTTACAATTATGATAATGTTCATGTTATAAAAGGGAGTAAGTTACTCCGTAATATCACAAGTCCTATCACAGAGGGAAGTTACACACGTGTTGTCATCCCGACAGTTCTTGGGGGAAGTGATTGAATCTCACGTCTTTAGGCGGGATGTCCGTATTTCCGGCAGGAACAGTTTTTTTGTATGCTGGTAGTAATTTTATTATTTTTATTTTTTATTTAATTTAGTTTAAACAAGGTTTAAATATTATTGTTTTATTTTATTTATAATTTTCATTATTATTATTATTATTATTTTATTTATTTGTAACAATAATAATATTCCTACACATGTACTTACTTAGCCCTATAAGACAAATACTACAAGGAAAACAACATAAGAAAATTATACTTAAACCGTCAACATAATGTCCTATTTTAAATAAATAGGTTTATACCAAAACATATAACACCTACAATAGATTATCTACAAACAATATATCCCAAAAAACATACAATTACCCTGAAAGTCTAAAATTATGTCCAAAATATCCGTAGTTGACGGCATAAGGTTGTATTCAAAATATTTTCGGCAAAATATAATGCACAGAGGTGTTGATATGCGGCTAAACCAATGATTCCCAACGTGCGGTATCGTAATATTTTGGTGGGGCATGCGTAGGATGTGCACCCTTCGGTTTACCAACAGAATAAGGGGGCAATTCAATAATGAGTTATTAACAGTGAATTGTTTTCTAGTTAATGCGCATTTATACATACGATGCATATTCAGTATGCATACATAAAAAATATTTTGTGTGTAGTACGTACATGTGTAATTGGCATATAAGATATTTCCCGTCTCCCCATATTCTCAGCCTCAGTAAACAAAAGAGAGGGTGTGGGGCCGTTTTTAATGCGGGGCAAAACCGAGTCCGTAGTCCAGGGCAAAAATTCTCCGTAGTCCCCGTATACACGGGGTCGGGTAGCTGTCTATCACCCCCAGACGAGACTGCCCTTCGGCATAGCCTCGAAGGCAGAGAGTTCGACCAGCACAGCTGGAGACGAAACTCCAACTAATTGCCGAAGCAAGGTTATTTACCTTACCTCTCCGCGAGGGAGGATGTGGCACAAGGCCTTTTTTTTAATGCGGGGCAAAACCGAGCCCGTATGGTTGGAGCAAATTTTCTCCGTATACCCGATATACACGGGGTCGGGTAGCTGCCTATCGATTAAGACGAGACTCTGCCCTTCGCCATAGCCTCGTCTGGGTTCCTCTCTGCCCGAATGCAGAGAGTTCGACCAGCACAGCTGGAGACGAAACTCCGACTAATCGCGAGTGAGGATGTGGCACAAGGCCTTTTTTTTTTAATGCGGGACAAAACCGAGCCCATAGGCTCGAGCAAATTTTCCACGTAGACCCTATATACACGGGGTCGGGTAGCTGTCTATCACCCCAGACGAGACTCTGCCCTTCGGCATAGCCTCGTCTGGGTTCCTCTCTGGCTTCGGACATTCCATTACCCATGGTAGATGGATACGTACCTTTCTGAAGATAGGAATTCGAACTCGGCTCTCCTGATTTCTTGTTCCAAGTCGTTATCCATTACACTACCTGAATTTTGTAAAGAACAGGAAGCACTTCTTTAATGTGCCTTGTCTAATAAGAACACGGACGATCACGTCTCTCTACAACTCCCTATTCTTTCATAGCACTTAATAATTTTTATCTTTCTTACTATCCTACTCCCTTCTGCCATTTATTTACACAAACACTTTAGGTTGGTTACTTGCTGTTTCTCTCCGTGACGTTTACCTTCAATATGTCCTTTTGAGTGTCAAATTCTCCAAGTACTCTTATAAAGATATCCAAATTGCTAGAATTCTTACACAATTTATTTCGAAGAAAATTCAGTGATCGAATTTATATGATTACATTTCAGAGTTTTCATAAACCAAGATAGGGAAAAGAATTGTTTTATATTTTGTGGACACGCTATAAACCAATTTGAATGGTGGATAGCGGCTTGGATTGAGAAATCGGAGAGCCGAGTTCGAATTCCAGTCGAATCCATTACATTCATTTACGAAAGGTATGAATCCTCTTCTTCTCCCCTCCAGCTATGGGTAAATAGCAGAACAGACCAAATTCTATAGCCTTGGGTGGCAACTGATTTACCACAGAAAGAAATGGCAACATAATGTGAGAACAAATCTGTTTCGTCAGTCATGTATCGAAATATAGATGATCACCTAAGCGTGTATCACGCATGGCACATAATTGAACTGAACGCAACGCAGGATTCGTTTCCAGCTGTGCTGGGTTCCTGTCTGCCTTCTGACAGAGAGGAACCCAGACGAGACCATGCCAAAGGGCAGAGTCTCGTCTTGGCCGATAGGCAGCTACCCGACCCCGTGTATATGGGGTCTACGGGGAAATTTTGCCCGAGCCTAAGGGCTCGGTTCTGCCCCGCATTATAAAAAAGGCCTTGTGCCACATGCTGCCTCGCGGGGAGGTAAGGTAAATAACCTTGCTTCGGCAATTAGAGTTTCGTCTCCAGCTGTGCTGGTCGAACTCTCTGCCTTCGGGGAAAGGGGAACCCAGACGAGACTATACCGAAGGGCAGTCTCGTCTGGTGTGGTAGACAGCTACCCGACCCCGTGTATTTGGTTTGTTTAATGGCACCTCAACTCCTTATGGGTCATTAAATACCGAAATCTAATTTCTTGGGATGTTTGGTAAATTCTTTTTTTTTTTTTTTTTTTTTACTATTAAAATCTATTTCTGGCATTTTTCCTGTTAACATTTATTTCTAGAATATTTTTTACTATTAAATTATTATCGCTGGAAATTTTTACTATAAAAATGTATTTTTATACTTTCATAGTATTTGACACTAGTTCTGGAGGTGTACTATTTGCCCATGATTCGCACCCTAACAGGTGCTACCACCCCGAGTCAGGGTGGATCTCGGTACAGTAGCAATTAAGAGGTGGTTTCAAGGTCCTCAAAACCTCTGCTGTATTACTCTTTCAAGTGGAGACAACCTGTACTTTTATAATCAGCATTCGAAATCATGAGGTTTACCGGTTCTCTAACACCTTTGAAGTAATTTGAAAATGCTTCACTCTCTCTTAAAAATACTGTCGAATTTTCTTCTGATCCTGAATTCTTGTATCAACTGCGGTTTACTGATTTTTCATACTTAAGGACGTAGGCAATGATGACCATTCACTTCTTCCTTTTCTTTAATATATATGAATTTCTATGATGAAGACATTGGAATGGTTTACCGATATTCTTTACACGGTTTGAAATTCAATTTTCCTTCTCTTAGACCGGCTGTGACGCAAAGCTAGAGAGCTTAATCTATTGAAATCATAGCGGTGGGCGGAAAGGATAGATATCTTCATGAGTATTTGCTGATTAAAGCTGTACGCACTGTATAGTTGAAAGTATATTTCTATAGATCTGTTGGCGTAATATAAAAATATCTATCTGTCGCAGTCTCTTTCTAACTATCTATCTATCTATCTATCTATCTATCTATCTATCTATCTATCTGTTGGTTTTAGCGTGGTCGTATGCACGTGAGTCAATAAATGTTTGTAGGTACTTATATATATATATATATATATATACCTATCTGGTATTCCTGGTGTCTACTCTCTGACTAACAACTGTTGTATCTAATAATAGACAGCCAAAAAAGGCATGGCTCTAATATGTGAGTGAATTTCTTTGGCTTGCAATATTTTCAAACTGTTATTTATCTTGTCAGGTATAATTCCAGGACATATTTCGGCCAAATTCATAACATTCTACTACACTTTGGAAGCTTTTAAAAATACCAGATCGCATCGATGTGTAAAAGAGGAATTTGAATCTTATCTTAATGAATGAATCGTCAGATTTCCTTATCAAACTGATTTCGTGTTGATATTATTTTATAGCTCTTAAGATAAAGTGTATATCGAGCCGAGTGACTGAAGCGAAGAAAATACATGATTACTTTTCTTTGCGGTTAATGTTAACAGACAAACGCTCGTCGTCAGCCGAATATAGAATGGCTGTCCTGAGAAGGAAAGATGGTTGGTTTACTAATGGGAGATAACTCTTTACGGATTACAAGCTGACTAATGTATATTAAATTGCAACAGGTTGTAATGTAAACAGAGTTATAAATACTGGCGAATTACTTTTTAAGTATAATAAAGCCAGCCCAGTGATACGTATTAATAAGCCTTTTTTTTTTCTTTTCATCTGAGCTTTTGAGCAAAGTTGCTAATATTTAATTGTTCTCTGCTAGTATTTACAAATTAAACTAATGTCCCTATTTAGTACAATAAAGTGTAAAGACTTAGTAAGCGGGACCGGTGGGAGTTTTAATTGAAGATGCGAATTTGTGTGTGTGTGTGCAATTTTTTTTTAAAGAAAGTAATGGATTTTTATTATTCCGACATTTTTTTTTATCCCTTTAAACGTTTTTTTAGTGGATACTCGTATTTGAATAGACGCTTCGTTTATTTATTAAACAATATATTTTTTCGTCCATCGGCCTCAATGTTTGAGAAATGTTTAAAGAAAAAGAGCGGAAAGCGCAAATTTTTATTTAATAAGATTCCGCGAACATTCAGGCCGGTAGGCGAAAATAAATAAGTATACTCTTTAATAAATAAACCGACATACGAGAATTGACTAAAAAAACATTTAAAGCATATATATATATATATATATATATATATATGGAGCTAAATATTATTTATTATAGGAGATTAAAACAAAAACATGTCAAAAATCGCCACACAATACCAATCGCGTTTCAACACCACAAATGTGTCTCCTCGGGTGATAGTAAATTACTGGATTAGATTAATTTAATTTCAGAAGCAGAATTACTTCCTTTTGTTTTTCGAAAAAAAAAAAAAAAAAAAAAAAGAATTAAAAGGAGGCTTGTGGATTTACCGTGATTAATCAATCAAATGTGACAAGCGCTAAATTCAGACTAACCGAAAAAATTACATGGATCATGTCACGAAGTTGTTTGCATATAAATCCTAGACAATTTTCTTCGGAACAGGTACAAATAGTTACATTATTTCGTAAAATATATAGAACTATGATGTTCAACTTTCACAAGATATTAAAGGAAAAGAGGTAGGGATGTAATTTAATATAGTGTTGACTAGTTATATGCTCGGTCAGCTTTCTACATAAATTTTTTGTAGTTGATAATTAAAAGACCTCTTTAAGAAAATGGCAAATAACCGTTTAAAAAAGGAAATCAGATCATAAATTAAAGACTACTTTGGCTAATTAATAGACAACCGTTAAGTAAATAGCATTCCTATAAGATGTTAATAATACTAACTAATCAATGTAAGATGTTAATAATACTAACTAGACATCAATACAGAGCTAGTGTAAATATAAATGAATCTTACAAATAGAATAGTAAGTCATATAACGTGCAGCGCATTTCATCTACTAATTATTACGATAAGAAAAAGTATTATCAAATACAAAGTTAAACCATAGTGTAAGATAAATTGTAGTCTATGTCTACAATTTACAGTTATTTCACTTCTTTGGTTTAATAAGGATTTTTTTAACCAGAAAATCTGATAATTTCCAGTTTCTCATGTAAGCATAAGAAACAAGGTTCATTTAAAGATCTACATGATTTTTTTCCATTTTACCGCCGAAGTTTTATTAGCATCTTTTAAATTTCAAAAATATTTAGAAAGAGATATACTATATTTATAAGTGTTGCTCGTATTATTGTATTTTGTGTTGTTTTTAATATTACTGCATAAGGTTTCAGCCGATCCATTCTCGAGTCGCATACCACCTATAAGAAATAGAGGTAGTAAGGTGTTTCATTTTCACAAGAAAAACTTGGGGCAACAGAAAAATTCCCTTTAATAATAGAAAGGTTGAACGTTGTTTAAAGCATTTCACCCCAAGCAATGCGGGAGTGCCACTAGCACGCAAAGGGTTACAAAGCGTGAGAGTAAGAGTAAAGAGGGATGTTTGTGGAAAGGATAAAGAGAAGGATGGGGATCAAGATCAAGGTATCAGAAGATGTCGATTGACATTACATTTGAATATTTGAAGATTATAGCTATCAGGGAAGCAAGAGGAAGGGAGTTCCACTGTCGGGAAGTGCGAGAGAAGAAGCTGTTGGAGTAGAAGAGGCGGTTACATTTAACCGTTTTGTCAGTGAAAGGTGGGACCGAGGTACCATCCTAGTATCACGCTTAAATTCATGCAGTTGGGGTACCAGTGAAAATATCTCGTCAGAATAGTTGCTATATATATATATATATATATATATATATATATATATATATATACACACACACACACACACACACACACACACACACATATATATATATATATATATATATATATATATATATATATATAAATATTATTTAAAATCCAAATCGCGACATAAAAGTCCCATGTTTCAAAACAAGAGCCGAAAACTTCAATATAATTATTTAAATCAAGTTAATATAAGCTCTGTTCCATCTTAAAGCGAAATTTTATAGGTTCCAAAAAAAATTTCGCTTGAAGATGGAACAGAGCTTATTTTAACTTGATTTAAATAATTATATTGAAGTTTTCGGCTCTTGTTTTGAAACATGGGACTTCTTATGTCGCGATTTGGAATCATACTTTTAAATAAATAATTATATTTATGCTCTACTTTTGAATCGAGCACTATTTTTTAAAAATAATAACTAAAATACTAAGGGACTTTGGATTATTTACCTAACCAGTTCATTCCTATTTTCTATATTTTTTCATATATATATATATATATATATATATATATATATATATATATATAATGAAGAAAAAATAAAATAATAAAGAATAGAGATGGAACATACATTTTTATATTTGATCTTTAATTAGTAATTAAATACTAATATATTTATTTGTAAAAATACCGTATAGTCTATTAGTCATTAGAAGGTCGAATGGTACTTTAAATCTATAAGAATAAAATTTAATTAATAAAATTTAAATATTAAAAATATATCTTGCACATATTTAAATGGCCCTTTGCCAGTGGCATTTAAGGGAATGTAACCAACCCAGTTGGAGTTGGAACACGGCTCTCCGATTAACAATTCCGAGCCACCAACACATCCAAGCTTACAGTACCTGGTATTATTCTCAAATGGTCACCCGTCTAGGTACTAACCAGGCTCGACATTGCTTAACTTCGGTGATGGTATGAGAACCGGTGTTTCAACGTGATATGGTCGTAATCGAGCGAGGAGAGAGAGAGAGAGAGAGAGAGAGAGAGAGAGAGAGAGAGAGAGAGAGAGAGAGGGAGAGAGAGAGAGAGAGAGAGAGAATAAGAACCCCAATTCAAAAAACTAAACCAAAATTAAAACAAAGATTGAGTGCCATTGTCTAAACGACTCTTGAAATGAGTCTGACTTTTCTTCACGTTATAGATACCATTCTTTATTCTAACTTATATTTCGCTATCTTTTTATCACTGAAAACTAATAGAAAAATATATAATGAGAATACTTAAAAGCTTAACATTATTACACTTATTATTACAAGAGCAAATATATCGTATAGACTGCAGGAAATAAGAGAATTTCGCAAAGTGACGAAACAAATTGCTTCGTAACCGAATTCACGGAGTCGCATTCCACAAAATAAATACTTTAAGTTTATTTCTTGTCGGAGTCAACTTCTTTATTTTCTATCTGTTCTGCTAATTAGAATGTAAAAAAAAAGAAAAAGAAATTGAACGTTTTCGACAAAAAGCAACTGAAATTATGATGAAAGAAATAGTATTGAGTCCTTTAGACTCGCCCATCTAGTATAGGAGCACAGCTTCAGCACGCTCGGCGTTGCTGCTTACGGGGTGGAATTGTTAGCTGCCACGTCCAAATGGTTTTGAATTCAGAGTTATCCTTCTCCTAGACTGGTTGTCAACCAGGGCTATTAACCCCCAAGCGTGGGATGAGAAGAGATAGATTCATGTGTTTTCAAAGGCATTTGTGCAAAAGCAAATGCAACAACCGAAATTTGAACTCGGTACGACAGACCCACTTTTCGCTTCGACAACTACTAAGCTACGTGCACATTCAAACAGACATGTCTTTTTTTTACAATAATGTTAATTCTCTACAAAGCCCAAGAGCCACTCGAGGTAGAGGGTTATAGAGCAGGGAATAATAGGCACTGTTTATGAGGATATGTGAAGTGGATAACGGTTAACCCTAAATTTGAATAAAAACCAATAGTAATAATAATAATAAAATCTTATAATAATTATCATTGAGTATTTATATATTTTCTGTCCCATCTGCAGTGGTAAGGGAGCAAAATCAACTTAAGTTAGTAAATTTATTTAGTCGTTTTAATAATTTATACAAATAAAATATTTATCTGTGGACAAAATAAGTTCCCAAGCAAAAGAGAACCATTTACTCCTACGTTTCTTAGATTGCAGTTTTATGTGGTCAAGCCTTTCATGTGAAGCACACAGATACCTTTTTGTATTAAGTGATCGTCTTGCTTCAACTTGGTATGGAAATAGGCTTTGTCGTCGTTGTCTTTGTCGTTTTATTACTAATCTTTTTCTTCCGAGAGATATCTCCATTTCACTCTTAAATACACACACACACACACACACACACACACACACACACACACACACACACACACACACACACACACACACACACACACACAAAATAACATGAAAAGGTATTGAGCAGGTATTGAAGTGATTTATATAATACCAGGAGTAATCAATGAATCGTAGAAAGGGAATATAAAGGGAATGGATTAATGAAACGGTTCATTGAACTCGAATTTTTTTATCTCCGCTTTATTGAATCTCAATACATTGTTTCAAGACTTTTGTTTCATTGTATCTCAATATTAAATTTCCCGCCGTTTTTGACGGCAGGAGTACATTAGTAAAAATAGTAGATTAGACATCTTAAAATGATTGTGGCTACTTGATCCTCAGATGGAGTGATGAGAAAAAGAGTGAAAAATTAATGATGATTCTGAATGCTTCGACTTAGAAATTCAGACAAGTTAAATTTATTACTTGGTGTATTTGGTAAAGGCTCTGCTCTCTCGTCTAATTCGTTCGGAGTAGAAAGATACGTGGATGGTTGAACAACGAATTAGTCACCTTTGCCTTGCTTTTATTGTTACTGTTATTGCGTTGGCACGAACCTCTTGCGTTTTCTGGCAGAGTGCCAGCCACAAGCCGAGAATCATATTACCTCGAAGAAGTGACAAAGAGTTCTTTATTTGTATCGTACAAAACGACAAATATAGAATCACGGCCTGTTTTTTTTTTTATTATCAAGTTCCTTCAGCACTTGGCTTTCGGCAAAATTTTACGTTAAAAAATCTGTTGCATCTACTTGCCTAGGAAATCCATTAAAAGAAGGGAAGAAAAAAGTATTCAAATATTACGCAAGGTTAAACGCTTTTGTATAATAGATAGTAAAATGATCGCTAACTAATCGACTAGTGTTGGGAGTGGTGCCTCAGTACTGGGCGTTAGTCTAACTGATTATTACTACTCAGCAGTGAGTTAGATGCTTGCTGTATAAATGTTTTTTTTCTTTTAATATTTTCACTCCAAGCAAGGCGATAATGCCACTAAGACGCTACTGGGAGTGAAAGAGAATGAGAAAAATTTATGAGAAGGAACCGGAAACGCAATCCTAAACAGGAAATAAGGGATAAACCTCTAATCGTGTTCACAAAAACGGGGAAGAGTTGAAAACCGGCCTTCTGCCATGCTAAGCTAAGGAAATCTACATGGACGTTGAGACAATGTCTTGTGATATGGTCTGATTATTATACAGGGTGGGGCAAAAGTCTCGCACTCCAGGCGATAATTTATTAAAAGTGTAATTACAAACGAAAATGTTATTTGCTAGTTATTTAATTGTTCTATGTGTTGTTCAAAATGTTCTCCTTCTTTTTCAAAACATATTTCAATTCTGTTCCTTCATGATTGATTAACACGTCAGAGAGTTTCCTCAGTCATTTTACTGCATTCATATTTAATTCTTTCTTTAAGTTCCTCAATATTTCTTGGGTGCTTCTGATAAACGACTGATTTCAAATGGCCCCACAGAAAACAATCCAAGGGTGTGAGGTCTGGCGACCTTGGTGACCAATCAACAGGACCACTCAACCTATCCATTAACCCATATCATGGTGCAATAACATTCAAGGAAGCATGTCAAATAGATCGCTGCTTATATATATATATATATATATATATATATATATATATATATATATATATATATATATGGTGAGGCAAAAGTTGCGCATCATAGGGATAATTTATTAAAAGTACAATTACACATGAAAATTTTATTTACTAGTTATTTAATTGTTCTATGTGTTGTTCAAAATGTCCGCCTTCTTTTTCAAAACACATTTCAATTCTGTGCCTGTATGATTCATTAACAAGTCAGAGAGTTTCCTCTGTCATTTTACTGCATTCATATTTAATTCTTTCTTTAATTTCCTCAATATTTCTTGGGTGCGTCTGATAGACAACTGATTATAAATGGACCCACTGGAAAAAAATCCCAAGTTGCGAGGTCTGATCACCCCGGTGGGCACTCAACAGGACCTTTTCGAACTATTCATAATTCCTATGGGGCGCGACTACTGCCTCACCCTGTATATAAAAATACTATCTTTCGACATATATAGTTTAGGCGTTGGGCACCTCGAGGCGGTGTAATGGTTAGCAAGCTTGTCTCGCTAGAACAATTACAACTGAGGCGTGAGTTCGATCCTCACAGGGTGCCCCATACTTTCGGCCTTGTGCCACATCTGAGCTACGCTTGGAAAATCACTATATAGTTTAGGCGTTTTCACTTTCATTAAATACGTCTAACGTTAGCAACATACAGGGTGTTCCAATTCAGCTTCATTAAATACGTCTAACGTTAGCAACATACAGGGTGTTCCAATTCAGCTTCATTAAATACGTCTAACGTTAGCAACATACAGGGTGTTCCAATTCAGCTTCATTAAATACGTCTAACGTTAGCAACATGCAGGGTGTTCCAATTCAGCTTCATTAAATACGTCTAACGTTAGCAACATGCAGGGTGTTCCAATTCAGCTTCATTAAATACGTTCATAACGTTAGCATTAAAACATGCAGGGTGTTCCAATTCAGCTTCATTAAATACGTCTAACGTTAGCAACATACAGGGTGTTCCAATTCAGCTTCATTAAATACGTCTAACGTTAGCAACATACAGGGTGTTCCAATTCAGCTTCATTAAATACGTCTAACGTTAGCAACATACAGGGTGTTCCAATTCAGCTTCATTAAATACGTAACGTCTAACGTTAGCAACATACAGGGTGTTCCAGGTGTTCAGCTTCATTAAATACGTCTAACGTTAGCAACATACAGGGTGTTCCAATTCAGCTTCATTAAATACGTCTAACGTTAGCAACATACAGGGTGTTCCAATTCAGCTTCATTAAATACGTCTAACGTTAGCAACATACAGGGTGTTCCAATTCAGCTTCATTAAATACGTCTAACGTTAGCAACATGCAGGGTGTTCCAATTCAGCTTCATTAAATACGTCTAACGTTAGCAACATGCAGGGTGTTAATTCAGCTTCATTAAATACGTCTAACGTTAGCAACATGCAGGGTGTTCCAATTCAGCTTCATTAAATACGTCTAACGTTAGCAACATGCAGGGTGTTCCAATTCAGCTTCATTAAAACGTCTAACGTTAGCAACATGCAGGGTGTTCCAATTCAGCTTCATTAAATACGTCTAACGTTAGCAACATGCAGGGTGTTCCAATTCAGCTTCATTAAATACGTCTAACGTTAGCAACATACAGGGTGTTCCAATTCATACTTCATTAAATACGTCTAACGTTAGCAACATACAGGGTGTTCCAATTCAGTTTCATTAAATACGTCTAACGTTAGCAACATACAGGGTGTTCCAATTCAGCTTCATTAAATACGTCTAACGTTAGCAACATACAGGGTGTTCCATTAAAATTCAGCTTCATTAAATACGTCTAACGTTAGCAACATACAGGGTGTTCCAATTCAGCTTCATTAAATACGTCTAACGTTAGCAACATACAGGGTGTTCCAATTCAGCTTCATTAAATACGTCTAACGTTAGCAACATACAGGGTGTTCCAATTCAGCTTCATTAAATACGTCTAACGTTAGCAACATACAGGGTGTTCCAATTCAGCTT